AATTTGTGCTTCATAATGAACTGCAGCTGACTTTGTTTTCACAACACCAAGAGCTGCACGGAGTTGATTCTTTGCAACAAGTACTTCCCTTGACCTCCCTTGCTTTACCATCTTCATGGGGTCATCAGCGTTTTTGTGGGTCAAAGAAAGAAGATGTCGATGACACGCTTGCTTTTGGGTGTACCATTTTTCACACTTGCCTGCAATTAGCTGTTCATACAAGGCATCTGACATATGTAAACCAGATGCCAAAGATCCGTCTGCTTTGCCAGTAGGTCGATTAAAAGATGACGAAAAGGAAACACGGGAAGAGTTTAAAAATTCGACACACGTTCGACACTGCAAGACCCAGCTGTTCTCTTCTTTTAGTATTTCAAAATCTTCCACTTCATCCACAAGCTCAATCAAATTGGAAGATCGAAGTGCGGTACTCGATGTGGGATTGTATGTAGTTGTTGAACTTGTTAATTGGGCTGATTTAGGGTTACCACTCAACTTTTGTGCCACCTTAGTAGTAATTTTTTCCGCAAGTTCGTCCACATCAAATGGCAGGTCGCCTTGCTCACTTGATAAAATTGAAGGAAGAAAACTTCCAAGCGAGCTTTGATAGCTAAGACGGCTGGTGTTTGAAATAGAGGCAGCCTTACTCGTCTTACTTACTGCATTAACTCTCACAATCTCTTCGCTGTAACAATGAAAGTGTTAAAAAGCCAACATTAAAATTTTCTTGCAAACTGTGTGAAAAGTATATGTACTAAGAAATTCAACAGAAGACGTTGAAATACTTAATGATTTCATCGTTAATATTAAACAACTTAAGAAATTTGTAATGTAGAAATTACTTATCCGAACAAGTGAATTATTGGAAGCCTTGAACTAAAAAGTCAACACTTTCAACCACTATGGCATAAATTTCACAAAATATCGTGACAAAACGTCGTAAAATCTGATACTATAATGCAAGAAAAATGCTGTATTTCACTAACAAACCTCTCATCTTTTTCATCGGTTTCCTCCCAACTTTCAGATTCACTGACACCAGAAACGATTTTGCACGAAAGTTTGTCAGTTGCATGTCCAGCCGTATCCTTACCAAGCTCTCTGAAACAATTTAATATTCATAATTTTAAAAAGCTATCACTGTATATGTAAAAGAAATGTATTATATAACATGTATGCAGTTTGTGATATTCGGTTATTTTATGGTTCACGCAGGGGAATGAGCAATTTAGCTACCTTTCATCGACTTCCATAATTTCTATCCGTTCTCCCATTCCGTCGCCACCACACTTTTGTTGCACTTGGCTTGTACTGAAAATACAATTAACATAGAAAACATACACAATGTAAGTGCAGTTCTCAATTTGGGAATTGGGAACTTGATTTTCATTTACCTAGCCGATTTAAGCATTTTGTACGCCTGTAGCGCGGATTTAGCAAGAGGGGAATCTTCTCTAATAGCGTCATTTGCTAAGGTCTTTTCGCCCTTGTCGCTGTGAGTTTTTAAATGGTTTGCTAGAACGGACTTGTTCCCTCTAGCAAGCCAAAATTTGCGTTTGCCTTGCCTAAAACAAAGTAAGCAAAAGCCCATTGGGGTTTTCTCGTGTCCACTCTTTGCTCGCTTTGCTTCTGGTCCTGTTTTCTGCTGCTTGCTATGTCTTTTAAACATGTTGGCAAACTGAAACTCTATAACACACAATTTTTATGGTTACAAATGTGTCGATAGCCAATCTTGGTTGTTTACTATTGTTTTTATAAAACCCACTGACAATGTCATGCCACTTTTCTTTGTGATGCAAACACGATCACTCTTACACACGACTAACATTCTAACACTAGATAATTGTTCTGTTACCTTCCTTAGACAGTGTTTGCTGCTTATTTTAGCCACTGCTGCTGTCTCAGTTTTGCACAGCCACTACACAAGACCTGGGCACCAAAACCTTCATCATCACCTGCTGATGTTGAGCAAGGCGGAATTGCGTGGCACGTTTTTGCAAACTTTGCAAAATGGCTTCCACATTCCTTCTTGCATGAAACGCAAACTAGTAATTAGGCAACAACAATGAAAACATAAGTTAAGATAATGTAATGAACGTTTTTGGTATCAAAGGCAAGCAGCACTAGTTTTAGCAACACACAAATGTTGGTTTGGTACTCTTAATGAGAAGTGAATATTGTCGAGGAATCACCGAATCAGCTCCTGCAATCAACCAATGGCTGATATATATTGTGTATATTGTTGTTAGGAAAATTTTCGGCTATTGTAACGCGTGAATTTACCTGATTTAACTGCTTGAATCTCGGCCATCTAGTAAAAATAAATAAACAATTAGATAAAAAAGTTTGTCAAAAAATCTCGCTTTATCACCAAACAATAGCGAGCTAAGCCCTGTTAGTTCGTTAGCAAACCAGTTTTAATTATAAATTGCTTCATTTATCAATATGTTTTATGTAAGGATTGTGAATTTTATTTGCCTTAAATGTATTAAAACATGCTTTGTAGTTTGTAATACAAGAAATCCTTTCGTACCACTTTTAGGTTACACAAAAAACATAACTGTTAAATAATAACTTGTTTCCCCGGGCGTTTAGCGTTAGAAGCGTTAATGCTTTCAGAATTTTTATCATTTGTAATTTTGTATCAGTACTTTTGATTTTACTAAACCATTACGTGTACTCACCTTACAAATTTGAACACCCCAAGTTGGTTTAATTAAATATCACGTATCACCGTAGAATACACCGAAGAATCGATATGGTTTGCCTTGAAGTCGCTTAAAAAGAGAAAGCTCGAAAAACGAAAGCAAAGAATGTGTAGTTAATCTGCTCAGATATCATATTTCTAGTCATCAAACGCTTATTGGCTTACCAACCAATTAACGGAACTTGCCTGTCAAAACAGCTTGTAAGATTGACATTCAACAGGCAACAATTTTTTTCAACGGAAACAACAGCGCTGCAGCGCACATGTGCTGATATTGCGCAATAATTTCTCGCGCTGCGCGGCAAATTTCACAAATGCGCGGCGAACAAGAAATTTTTTAAAATCTGCGCGTCAGGACGCGCATTTCTCCCGAAATTGCGCAAGCTAGATCTAGGTTGCGCAAGACATACTTTCCAGTCTGGCAGCAGCACCTTTTCGTTTGGGTTTTTGTAGTTTTCCTGGACTAACATGAGATCTATCATCGCCTGACTCGTCAGATTCGTCCGCACATCGTTTTGATGTGAAAATGCACGTCACGCGTCAGTGTGGCTGCTTGCAGGCTGCGCCCAGGCTCTATGACGCGCCAAGCATTTCTTTATTGCGTTAAAAGGAATATTCGCTTGTATAAATAACGTCGTGCAAACTTTGATTACATATATTGGCAAATATTTAAAAAAGCTTGCTCTATTTACATTTATTCTCATCCTCGATTTACATTTATTCCATATAGCTGCATTTACATTTATTCCAATGCTGGAGACCATTATTCTGTTGTTGAATTTAAAATATTCTAATCTGATTTTAAAATGTCCTAATTAAATTCATAATGCTGCGCGCGCGCGTCGAACCAAAACATCATGGCCGACAAACGACAAAGTCTTGCAGCTGCTTGTGAACAGGCTGCTATTGCTCTCCGTTCAATTCAAAGTATAACCAGCGAAGATGTTCAACGGATTGCTGCAACTACGTCTAATACTTCAGATGCAGAAGCAGAGAATCTAACGTCTATCCGTGCTGAATTGGCGCAAAGGTTTCCAAGCTATCGCCCATCGCCATCGGCATCCGGAATTTCTGTTCAAGGCAAACATAGCGATTCAAATAGACAAAACAAGAAAAGAACGTGGACTACTAGAACAACAACCAAAAGAGGAAGACCTAGTACATCTGATATTGTCTATAGAGATTTAGTGATCATTCCCAATCCTGAAACGACAAAGGTCCCAACACATAAGGCTCGTGTAGCACTTGAAAAAATAGACTTATCGTGTCAGGTTTTCCCTTTGACCGATCTTGGGATGCTGCCACCTTAAAATGCAACATTGAGCTACAACTACCAAAACGTCATGTGCTTTTTGAGTATATGAAGGTAAGGTTGTTTGGAATCCAGCATATCTTGACTCAATAGCCAAGGGGTTGTCCTGTATCCACTTAGTACTAACTTATTTAAACTTGTTCAAATTTTAAACATCCCTCTTCTTGTTTGTACACAATGGTAGTTTTTTTCTTCAAGTTTGCTAATTTAATAGTCTTAAACCTTGGGTGAAAGTCAGCATTTATTTTTAAAACCAATGTTCATTTGATGCTAAGCTCTCTGATTTCTGTAATCTTAGCTAGTATGTATAAATTATTGACCTGCATAACTTTTAAAATATGTGAAAATTGTGTTTTTATTTAGGAAACCAAAATTAGATAGCTATTTGTACATAATAGCAGATTAACACCCCCTTCCTATTATATATGCAAATGTAAGCATTTATCATCCACCCCCCCACATGCTTTTATTACATACGTATGAAATGGGCAAACCCCTGCATGACCAGTCTGTATCTCCAATGTTGTGAAAGTTTTACACACCAAAATCTTAAAATTTTATTTATGGGATCATGGCTCATTTTGTCAACACCTTGTATGATCCTGCCAAGATCATGATTCATCTTGACAAGACTTAGGAAAGATGTTTCAAGGTCTTGGCAAGGTGCTTAAGCTGTGAATGCTAATTGGTGATTGATTCTTATGTTACACAATAATTGTTATCAAAACTTTTATTTCACCCATACTTTTTACAGGCATGTTATGGAGAACTTGTCAAACCCAAGTTTGCTAATGGATGTTCAATAAATGCAGATGCTTTGCTGAAAGTCTCTGGACAAGGTGCTGTGTATGTTCGTTTATTGGAAAAGCATGCTGTGTTTGAGTTAGATTGTAGTTCTTCTGACTCTGATGGTGAAAGCCTTATTCAAACTACAATGAATGTCTGTAAGTTAAAACTCACGCTATTATTTATTTTATTACTATGGTGCTAAAATTTGGGTGCACATATAAAAAATACATTTTCTTTAAAAATTAGGTACAAGTCGTGCTAATGACAACAATTATCAGGAGGAATTGTCAACACCAGTCACAACACCAACTATTAAGAGCTCTTCCTCTGAGAATTATCAAACACCATTTGAAGGTAGCATACATATTTAGGTATACCTAGGAACTACTATATTCTATTTTTTGACTGTATGTTTTCCCCAATTTCAGAATTTTTGGTGAGTGATGGTGAGTTTGTTGCATCTGTTGATATTCAGTCTGATACAGCACCACAAGTACTTGCTACTCCTGAAGTCATTTCTACATCCAATCTTCCTGTGTCATATGCAGCACAAGAATCGACAGATGCTATACAAGAATCGACAACCATCACACTTCACAGATCCAATCTTAGAAAGGAGCTTATGTTGATATTTCTTGATGAGGGCATCTTGAATAAGTTTGTAGTTGTAAAGATGTTCAATGATCATGGTAATGAAGAGAAAGGTGATGGTGATGGAGTTTTTCGTGATGCTCTTTCCCTTTTCTGGCAGGACGATACATTAGCTTGATGTTAGGAAAGATGAAAGAGTTCCGTGCATACGACATGATATGAACAGAAGCCTTTGGAAGCTGTTGCTCGCATTTTTCTCAAAGGATATCTTCAAGCGAATTATTTTCCTGTCCAAATATCTCAAGTATTCATTGTGTCTCTTCTTTTGGCGAAAATGCTATTTGTAGAGAGATGTATTTGGAATCCTTTAAAAGGTACATCTCAAGGGCAGAGGCTGAAGTTATTGAGAAAGCACTTTCGCAAGGATTATCCTTGGATGATGATGATTTTAAAGATTTCCTTACAGCCTTCGACTGCAGAAAGGTTGTCAAAGAAGAGAATCTATCTGATATTTTGATTTAATTGGCTCATAAAGAGCTCGTTCAGAAGCCAAAATATGTTGCAGATTGTTGGGAAACTATCCTTTCAAAGATTAAGATGTTTTTTCCAACAGTTGATACTTTGGAAATGCATTTCTCAAAGTTGAAACCTACATCAGCAAAGATTTGTAGAATGTTTATTGCAAATCCAGAAAGCTCAGCAGAATCAGAAAGTATGTCGCATTTGAAGAGATATGTTAAAGGATTAGATGATTCTTTGTTACGTAAATTTCTCAGACTTTGTACTGGTTCTGATGTTGTCATTGTTGAAGGTATTAAAGTCACATTTACATCACTCGCTGGAGCAGGGAGAAGGCCTATTTTTCATGCATGTGGCTGTGTAATTGAACTACCTTCAACGTATGAAGACTTCTGCGATTTTAGGCAGGAATTTACCAACATCTTGAGCCAGGTGGATATAGAAATGGACCTGGTATAGACGAGAATGTTTATTAATTCTTTAGACATATTATTTAATGTTAAGGACTAACTCGTATGTATACATACAATGATACAACTACATGCACATATGGAGTTATTGTTCAATTGTTTATTTTGAGCGTAATTTTGTTTTACAACTTAGTTTGCTATATTCATATATCAACCAATATTTGTTTGAAAATTGTTGCCAATGTACTGCCTGTTACCTAGTATTTCTTCAATAAGATTTACCGTTTGTAAATATGCCATAACACCGTCTCATGATTCAGCATTAAAGTTTTCTTTTACAAAGGAAATGCCATCATTGTTCAAACCAGTATCAATCACAGGAACTGTCACTTGGTAATCTGCACAATCAACATCAAGTTGAACTTCATTGTCAACACCATAAGCTTGCATCTCTGCTTCATTTGAAAAGCTATCAACACCAGTGTAACCTGAATTTAAACTTTTCAGTACACCTAGAGTAAATAACTGAATTGGCGAACGATTGTGCTCTGATGAGAGTGGGTGGTGTTGCCATTGCTCAACAAACTCTTCAACTGATTTGTTTATTCTTCTTTTAAATATGAAATGAAGTGCAAACATGTGCACTTCGTTTAAAGGATCTAAGAGTCCTGAATTCTCCAAATCATTGAAAACAGATGCATAAAAGCACAACACTCCAGCATACACATCTCTCTGTATTCTTTCAACTCTGCAGTTATGAACAGAGCTACCAGTAATGATACTACCCCGATTTAAACCTCTTTGTTCCAGCATATAAGTAGCAACTCCGAAATTCTCCATGCCATGGTCACTACGAACTCTTGACGGCAGTCCATACTTCTCACTCCTTCCTTAAATTTTTCTAGGACTGTGTTGCTTCTATTGTTATCTGCACAGTGCACATAAACAAGTAATCGCGAGTAACCATCAATGCAGCAGTGCACAACAAACCGATATCTTATTAACTTATGATTGCCGTCTATGTGCCATAAGGCGTTTGGGCAAGGAACTGAGTATGTTCGTCGATAGATAACTGGTCTCCATCTTAATGTAATACCAATTGGATCTACTCGCCTTAAACTGTCTCGTACTTTTCTTCGTTGGACACGTATGTGTCTACCTCGCAAGGCTCCCACCAGCTTACGCTCACCAATATTTGGAGTTAGTTTTTGTATATCTTTAACGACACTATCCAAATCTTCACTGGATATTTGAGACCATTGTAAGTCATAGTCTACATTTAGACCAAACTCTTCTCGCTTTCTTGTTATTGTAGTTATACTAACACCTAAAATCTTGGCAATGGTTCTCCAATTAAAGTGTAAAGATGTTAAAAATTCCAGTTGTTCTTTACTGACTTCAATTTTAGGACGACCAGAACCATTACCTAACTTTTTTTTTCGGCATGAAAAACCCAAATACGTTGTACTTGGCCGTTGGCGACATAGAATTCCGCATATTTCATCATTTCTGAGATGTGATCAGTCAACATGCGTAACGTTGCTGATGCCTCTACCAGTCGCCTAGTTAAAGCCTCCAAGATCTCCTCGTGTGCACTTTCTAAACTTTCGTCAAGATGGTAGACTTGACTAAATATAGATTTAAGTTCGTGAAAGAAAATATGCAATCCTCGCTCATTGCGCTCTTTCGGATGATTTACACTACCACTTGTCGCCATTTTGTTTTATCTTAATGAGCGCGCGCAGCATTATGAATTTAATTAGGACATTTTAAAATCATATAGAATATTTTAAATCCATATGGAATATTTTTAAATCATATGGAATATTTTTAAATCATATGGAATATTTTTAAATCATATGGAATATTTTTCAATCCATATGGAATATTTTTAAATCCATATGGAATATTTTAAATCCATATGGAATATTTTAAATCCAATATAGAATATTTTTAATTGAAGATTCAGATATATTAAATAAATCGAATAAAGATATGTTCGGCGCGCCATACAGGCTCCCCCTGAACTCTGAAACTCGCAATGACCAAGCTTGATGCATTATGCCGCCGCATGGCTCGTCAATGCGATCAAGGGAGACGATCCGATCGTACTATCTGATGATTTGACACAAAGGCACTACACTAATAATTATGTCTACAAAAATTTATAGACTCTTTAAGGATTTCCATTTTATTTATCTTGAGATATACGAGAAAAATCGTAAGACCATGAGATTTACATCAAAATCGTGAGTCTCACGATAAAATCGTGAGACTTGGCATGTCTGCAAATATATTTATCATTTTACTACTCATTGTCATATTAGTTAATTAGGAAGAATTTTGCACTAAAAATATTGCAAACAAGGCATTTTGTTCTTCTGAACATACGATCTTCACATATGTGTAGGAAGAAAAAAAAAAGATAACGGTTATATCAATTTATTTGTTTCAAAATTATTTTGACAAGGTAAAATCTTCACTTATAATCAACAACTTGCTACCACACGTTCTTATGCTATCATCATGCTTGTTTTACACGTTCATTGCTTAATTTGAGGACTTCTGTGAGACACCTATTTTATTATTGAGGTTTGATGTTTGAGCAACTAAGACAAAGTACATATCATTTGATACTATAATGTAGGTTTTACTACTAAGGGTATAAAAGAGCAGGGAGGAATAACACACATTAGTTAAGCAAATCACTTGATAATATTGTAATATAGGTTCTAGTGCTAAGGGAATAAATGAGCATAAAGGAATAACACACATTACTTAAGCAAATCACTTGATAATATTGTAATATAGGTTCTAGTACCAAGGAAATAAAGGAAAGGGAGGAATAACATACATTGATTTCTTTTTATAATATTAAACTTTACAAAAGAACAAGGACAGGCCATTATCTAAATTATTGGTGTAAAATGTTTAATTGACGTTATAACAGACTTCAATAATTTCAACAGGTCAGAAACTAATGAACAAGGAGTTATGCTTTAACAGTTGAGTGTCTTGAACCGAAAATGGAAGTTTAAAATTAAAAACCTTACCAATATTTTTCAGTCACTGACAGCCAGCAAACAACACATATACTACTTAACTAAGTGACAAGTTTGTGCAAATTCATAATCACTGCAGTAAAACTGAACAGGTGATCATTTGCAAATTCTATAATTAAATCAGAGTAAAAAAAGAAATTGTGAAAATACATGTGACAATTAAGTAAAAATTATACCACTCTCCTTTAGTTTTTCTTTTTGACATGGTTTTTGTTCGAAACTTCTAATTATAGCAACTTGTTCGTTTTTGGACCCCAGAGTTAAAATAAAAAGTAACAACTTGAAATTGAAGAACGAAGACGAGCACATCGCTTGAAAAGGAGGGAATACTGAAATCCAATCCCAAATTATGCTTGGCATTGTGACGGCTATGATAAAATGAAGCCTTTCGGATTTCCAATACATGGTTGCATTGATGGGTGGAGTAGAAAGATACTCTTGCTAAAAGTAACTAGATCCAACAACCACCCAGGTGGTATAGCCAGTTTTTATTTAGATGCTGTCGAACATTTTGGTGGATGTCCTGTTGATCTGGTAACAGATTTAGGCACTGAAAATGGAATAATTGCAGCCATCCAATCATTTTTCCGGGATGATGCTGACAGCCATCGTTATGTCCCGTCTCCTAGAAATCAAAGAATTGAGTCGTGGTGGGGACTATTCAGAAAGCCGTGCTCATCTTGGTGGATAAACTATTTTAAAGATCTAGTGGATCAAAGGGTAGTTGATCTCTCATCAGAGTTAGATATGGAGTGTCTTTGGTTTTGCTTTTCGGATGTGATACAAAAGGTTTTGGACGAAGTGAAAGAGCAATGGAACACCCATTATATCAGAAAATCACGTCATGATACTTTAAAAGGCAGACCTGACTCATTGTATTATTTACCTGAGCTATGTGATGGTGACAATCACTTTTTACTGTCGGTTACTTCTACCGAAATTCATTATGCTCGATCGCACATAGTGGAAAGTGAAAAAGGAAACATATTCCAAGAATATTTCAACTACGTGTTACAATCTTGTGATGTCGACAAGCCAAGAGATTGGAAACAGGCAACTGAGCTTTACAATACTCTTCAGTACTATGCAAAGTAATATACTTGCCGACATTCAATTTCAACAGACTGCATGTAGCTATAGGCAGGGACGAAGCTAGGATGTTAAGTGGGGTGGGGTGAATATTCAAATATTCAACTCTGCCCTGCTGATTTGTTTTGAAATTATAATCACTAACAAAGCAAATCAGCAAAGCAGAGCTAAATATATGAATATTCACCCCCTCCCCACTTAACGTTCTACTAACGTTCTAGCCACTGGCCATAAGACAAATTAATCTAATATATTTTGTTTATACAAAAAATGTAGGTAGTATCTTCTGTAGGTAGCAATCACATTTATCTGCTAACATAAAAATTAACAAAGTGTGTAGTAAATGTTTCCTCACTAACAAGCATTTAGTAAGTACATAATTTTGAAAGAAGTAAAATTAAAAGGTGCCGTTTTGGTGAATCAAACAAAAAAGTAACCATTCCATAATAATCAATTACTGATAAGGTGTTACTGATTTAGAATGACAAGTTTCATCTTTTCCCAAAACTCTGACCCTTACAGTAGGCAATCATGAAAACGTGCTTGAATCTTCACTTGTTTTCACATGCTCAACTGGTAATGTAATGTCTCTGCCACATGATCCTACAATTGGGAAACAGATTTTATGCATGGTATTACGTGACATACAATCATGATCAAAATGAACTCCGATTCTTAACTTTTCTCCATTAATAGGTACATGTTTTTGTCTGGTGAGCCACCCCAGAACTGATGGTGTTAGATCTGCAGACAGGGAAGTGATCCTTTCCATGTTGTCTTGCATGTTACCAAGACTATCTTCTCCATCACTCCATGTCAGATCTTCTACATAGCCTGTTAAATTCTGGTCTTCCATGCTCATTAGCACATCTTGAAAGAAGTCAATCATTTCCTCTTCAATCACACGCCGCGAGCGTTGAGATAGAGGAGACGTTTGCTGACGATGCTAACCATAACAGTACCAACGATATCATCAACATGCTCTTTATCAATCTTGCCAGTGTACTCGTGCTCCAAAATGACATCTTGCATCAAAGTCGGGTTATCTTTGATGTTTTTTATCAGTGTTTGCTCATGAGACGTTAAATGTTTTTCAGGAATAAGTGCATTCATGTTGAAATTTCCTAGAACAAGCATATCATAAACACAATCATCTAGGAAACATGGCGGAGGACCTCCTTGGGCGATGCTAGTCGCAACAATTTGCCCACATGAATAAAATGTACCGTTGTGGACACTGAGCATTGAATTTTGGGGGCTTCCATCTGGAAAAACATTCTTTCCAATTTCGTTCATGATATTTGTAAAATATTCCTTTGCCATAGCTCCATTATCAATGCCCTCTTCTCCTGCAAAATGCACCATCACTCGGTTCTTAGGACTTTTTTTCTTTGCTACATGTTGCCAAATAGTGACTACTACCCCTTCTGATAACAAAAAAGAACTGTTCGGACAGATTAGTAGTCTTTTCTAAGGCTTGCACAATTTGTTCAACACTTTGGTAACTCGTACTATCATCTGCAGTTGTTTTTGAGTTTCCACAGAAATTGTCCAAAGTATCTTTGACTGAATGGTATTCTTCATCTGGAAGTGAGGAGCAGCTACTTGGAGCATCTGGAACTTAGGAGCAGCTATTTTCTCCAGCTAAAACAACATTTTCTACTATGGTCACCTCATCTTCCCATTGGGTGTTAGATAAACTAATGTTATCATTTTCAAATTGATACTGTAACTTGATTGCAATGGTTTCATCGTCCTCTACTACAGACTTTAATTGTTTTCTTGCTGGTTGACTAAGTTCATCATCAGTATCAGACTCCTTATCTTCCTCGCTCCTTCTTACATCATCTTTACTGCAAACATATAAAGTAATGCGTTTATAATCTTTCCCACTCTCTTCCTTGTATCGTTTTGCAGAAAAGAACTCCTTCGTGCCAGTCAAAAACAAAGCTTCTTGACCATCTGGATAAACCAGAGTTTATTCTTCCTGTTCGATGAATTCATTAGTGTGATAAGCTTTCCACTTTTCAATGCCTTTTGACCGCACTTCAGTGTAAGGTGCTTGATTTGAAATTTTGAGAGCAACTCTTATTCCTCGTTTTGCTTTTAATTTTCTTTCTTCTTGATTCCATTGAAGCAGTCCAATGAATATCACAACATCCTCATCTTTGCCTTTTCCTTTGTCGAATTTTTTCTTCCATTCACTGACCTTTTTGTAATCAGAAAATGATTTTACTCTTCCCTTGCTTTTAGCATCAAAGTAATCGCTCTTGTTTGATGACTTTACATTTTGTGCCAGACTTGAACTGGTTGAAGGGAGAACATCACTTGATGAAGATAAACAGGATCTTTGATGCAATTCTGTTAAGAGATGTACAATATTATAAAACATAAACAAGCTAATTGTTTTTATATTCTTATAACTTCAATGTTTATGATTATATTGAGTCATGTTTTATAAACAATTAGTAATGCATAGTCAAAATTAAGAGCTTCTTTCTTTTTTGGCAATTTTCCTAATTATTTTACTTCTTTTTAAAAACATCACTGGTGAAAAAAAATGTTTTGTAGCTAATTTACGGCATTCATCTCATTGAAAAGCACTGAATGTACTTTAAATCAACTAAGTGCTCTGAAATTACTTTGGAATCAATGGAATGCTTTTGTATCTCTTTTATTTTCAGTTAACATTAGTCATTACTAGACTATCAGGCCATTGCGCATCCAATCCACTTATTTCGTCCTGTGATGAAAATATTTCATTAACCAATCATTGCGAAAAAGCCGCCCGCATGGCTCCCGATCTGTAGTTCAAAACTTTCATGCTGACTACGCCACTGTTGACATATTATTCAATTATATTGTTTGAAAAATTAGATATAACTTACCTATTCCACACTGTGTGCAAAATTTGGCATTGCTTTTGTGCTCTGTGCCACACATACAACAAAGTCTCGCACTTTCAAAATAACTTTCGCCTTCGTTTTCCGCCATATTATATGTTTATCAGTCCCAGTCTCTTCGAATACTGCTCTTGTGCCGTGAGATTTTGTGTGTGCCGTGAGAAGTTTTGTGTGTGCCGTGAGAGATTTTGTGTGTGCCGTAGGAAGTTTTGTGTGTGCCGTGAGATTTTGTGTGTGCCGTGGGAAGTTTGTGTGTGCCGTGAGATTTTGTGTGTGCCGTGGGAAGTTTTGTGTGTGCCGTGAGATTTGTGTGTGCCGTGGGAAGTTTTGTGTGTGCCGTGAGAAGTTTTGTGTGCGCCGTGACATTTTGTGTGTGCCGTGACACCTGTGGGCCACCGTAGAGATCCATCGACATGGCCAAATAATTCCTTAGCTTCCAATATGGCTTTCATTTGGTATTTCCATATTTGCCAGTTTTTTGCGCCTTCGAGTTTATCAATTGACAGTTTGTCTTCTTGAGCCATTACAACACAATAAATCGCACACGATTAAATTTTACTTACTGTTGCCTAGCGTTAGCGAATACATGCTAGTTGTTTGCTGTCATATTATCATTTATTAAATACTTAATTGACTGTTTACTTGGCCTATATAAAAGCCAGGTCTGTCTAGTCATTCTCTAACAGGAAAAATTTCTGATATTTAAAATTGCTAGGTATTCTATAATTTAGCCACACCTATGTGTGTATTTCAGCCATTCGTGATCGGTGTGCTGCTATCACTTCTTTTTTGCTTGGTCTTGGAGTAGGTGCAATATTCTTTGGAAGTTTAACATGCTTGTCTGATGGTTGAGGATTCATGTCCACATTGAACTCTACCACATCATCCATCAGTTGCAGTACAAAATCAAAACTTTTTCTCCAACACTGGTTTCACTATCCATTTTTTACGTCCTTTTGGGAAGACCACCTTATACCTTTTTTCCCCTTCTTCCTTACCTCTGGTGACTGTTGCTTTCCTCCTTCCAGTGTTGGAGTTGTGATCAATCACAGCTAGTTGAGTACGGGCCACCATTCCCTTGTATGAGAAGTGTTTACGTTTTGGTACATATTTTAGCAGCAAGGAATGGTAGACCTCAAGGTTGCCAGTATGGTGAAATTCTGTAAGCTGTTGTATATCTTTTAAAAGCTTTCTATTCAGAACAACCTCCTCCAATGCTATATGTGGGGCAGATCCAGCCTGCAACCATTTCGTTTTTCCTTCTTTGTTTCTAGATAAAGGGCCATGTGAACATTTGCAAAAATGTTTGCTATTTCTCCAATTATGTTTGTTGACTATATGATGTAAAATGGACACCCATTTCTCATGGAGCACTTCAGCATTTCCCTGACAACTTTGTGCACACCACCAAAGGTGATTTGATACAGACTGAATCCACTCTAGTAGCTCATGATTTTCTTTTTTCTTTGCCTTCTCTGTCAATTTTTTTGTCACCCACTTTGAGAGATGCCAAACATCATATTGGTGCACTATGGAAGGGTACCTCTTTCGCATTTCAGAGGTTATTTGAATGTGGCGGTCAGTTGTCAATGATCTCACTTTCACACTTTGCTCAATGACATTGTCAAGTGCTCTTTGGCATCCTTTTTTCTCCATTGCATTAGAGGATGAAACTTCAGAGACTTGAACAAGAGAAAAGTCAATAATTTTCTCTGAAGTTTCATCCATTAAGGAATATGTACCATATTTTTGCTATGACCAGGACTGTCTGATCTACCATCACCACATAAGTCAACCGGTTTCATTTTGTTTTTGATGGTTTCAATAATTTCTTTTTGTTGTTTTTTATAGACATTGTCAATGACTGGGAAGACAATCTTATTTTGAACTTCATAAAACTGATCTTTATTTACAAAGTTTAAATTAATTGCATTTGCAAATTGCTTGGTGGCTTCATAGGTTACTCCAGTCATTCATGATAGTTGCAGCAGGAATTAAAATATTACCTGCTGGTTTATTGTGCAAATATGGTTGAGACTTCCACTGATAAGTATGATTATTGCTACATGTTGTTTTTATGGCAACCATACTACCAATATGGGACTTCTCAATCTCACAAAGAGAACCACATATTCCACATGTTGCGAACAGCTTATCAAGCATGCTTTCAAAGACAATGAATTTTCTTTGATTTTTTAGTTCCTCACCTTCAGATTCCTCATCTGTATCTTGTTCCTCAAGATAGGTATAATCATCATCACTATCTGATGCAGCAATATCATCACTGCTTCCTAAAGAGATTTCTGAATCAGATGATATAATAGGAGTTGTTGTGATAGGAGTTGTTGTGTTAGGAGTTGTGGGGGATGTTACTGGTTTTGGTGTACGACTTGAAGAAACTGCATTTAAAGAGGGGGCAACATTTTTTGAAGCGTTTTTATTTTTTAATGGTTTCCTTTTTCTTTGTGCAAGAGTTTGTATGGCAACTGTCCTTTGTCTCGGTGTATCACACTGTGCTTCTGCATTAATGAAAACTTTTGGTTCACATTGAATCTGGGCATCCTTGGACAATGGACTGGGAGGCTGATCTTCAATGCCTGTTGCAAGATTTGTATCTTCATCTAGTGATTGTATTATGCTTCTAACTTCCTACAAAATAGTCAAACTTCTCAACCAAGAGAGCACAAAGCTAATTGTTTAAAGAACAGTTCAATAACTTCAAATATAATCTATATGGTTGCAATATCCTATTTACCTCATGTCTTGCAATTCTATCTCTCATTTGTTCTCTTCTGTGTGACATTTTTCGCTCGGGTTTACGATTTAAAAATGGAAATATCGATGGTACACTACTAGGTTTTAATATCTTTTTCGATTTCATGCCAAATATCTCCTTTAGAGAAGTACTAAAGCAATCTGGGGTGAAATGGTCGCTACATACGTAACATGAATGTGGCTTCGGTATATTATCACGACGAACCCGTGCAAGCCATATTTTTTGCATTGTTGAGTCGTTTGGCAATCGATGATACGATACATCGCTACCTTTTGTTTTTCTAGATCCGTTAGTGCAATTAGGCACCATGCAATGTGGCATTGTTCCGAAAAATTTAAAGTAAACAAAGTAATTGTAATTGTGTCGCTTTTCCTGATATGTTGTCTATTTGAATATATATACGCTCCCGCGAAAGCGCGCAGTGACGTCACGAGACTTTACCGCTGCTTGATCGCAGGTTCGCTCGCATGTACATAATAGCTGATACAAAATATACAAAATTTCGTGGTTTCATCGCTTTATATCTCGACTTGTATTTAACTAGAAGATATAATATTTGGTATATAAGGTAATAAAAATATAATCTTTCATTTGGGCAAAAGTTGTTCCGAACTCTGACTTCCCCTTTAAGAAAACAACAAGAACGTATATATATCGTACAACTGAGCCAGCGATTGTATAGAGCTGCGCCCGCAATGTCATATTAAAGTAATACTTGATAACAGTAACAAAATATCCAACCCAGTCTCTTCCTTAAATTAACTCTATACGCTGATTGTGAAAATACCCTCAAAGTGGCCCTTTTTATACTAGAGACAGATCATCCGTCTGAACGAATCATCCGTCTGACAGATCATCCGTCTAAGTATAAACACGAGACGAACTATCCACACAAAATTCATATAGACGAACGAGACGAACTTGTCAATTCGGAGGCCCGGCAGCAAACGTCTATGGCGGAAAATTCAAATTCAAAATGGCGGCAGAAATGCAATTGGTGAAGCATTTATCTCGAAAAAGAAAATTAAATAAAGAAAGATTATTTTTGTGGCAAAGAGAGAGCGTTACACGAGCAAAGCGTCGTTTCGAAGATGAATTAGCTGATGAGATCGAACTAGCGCTTGCTGCAGCATCATCTGTTATTTTTCTCACTAGAAAACAAAGGAAGGGCAGGCGTCCTGATGAGCGCAGGAGAAATACTTGGTGGTCTGAAGGCTATCAATCTAGGAGCGATGCAGTATTCAAGAGGCGCTTCAGAGTGTCTCGTGCGACGTTTGATTTTCTTCTAAACGAAATTGGTCAAGAAATTGTTAAACAACCAACTCGAATGAAACCCCATCCAACAACTCTTGATACACAATTGGCAATTTGTTTGTATCGGTTGGCACATGGAGTTACCTATCTAACAGTAGGAGATTTATTTGGTGTTGCTGCATCAACTGCTTATTGCATCTTCATGGACGTTTGCAAAGTGCTGGTCAAGATCTTGTATGACAGGTTTATTTACCTACCAAAGACAATAGATGAATGGACACACGAACTCCAAGGGTTTCTTGAAAATTGGTAGTTTCCATGTGTTGGGGCATGGGATGGCTTTCATGTATATGTTTCGAGTAGATTGAAGAATTTTTATAGTTACAAGAAGCGATATTCTGTTACTAATATGGGGTTTATTGGATATAATAAAAGGTTTATGTTTGCTGCAGTAGGTGCACCTGGCTCAACTCATGATTCAAGGCTTTTAAAGAATTGTGAAGTATACTCAAAAATTGAACATGGCAAAGTGCTGCCAAAAAAATCACTGAACCTACAACCCTATGGAGAAATACCACTTACAACTGTTGGTGATTCAGCCTTTCCATCCCACTCGTGGTTGCTTAAGCCATACAAAGAAGGAATGCGAGAACCCCAAAAAAGGTACTTCAACAGGTGGCTTTGTTCTGCCTGAGTTCTTTGTTCTTTCCATCCCACTCGTCAACGTATCTGCGGTAAAATAAAGGTTTGTTGTTGCTGTAGTTATTTAACCAGTTTCGTTCGTGAAAACCCATGAAAATGTTGGCTAGAATGGGTGCCAAGGGTGAGCCCATACTTACCCCGTCAATTTGGTCGTAGTACTTAACGTTAAATAAAAAATGAGTCTCGGCCGTAGCGATGTTAAACAATAGTTTTAGTTCTGTTCTGTTCATTTTGAATGTAGGGTTATTGGTAAAAATTAAATCAATAGCAATGTCTATGGTTTCGGTCAGTGGTATGTTGGTAAAAAGGCTTTCAACGTCAAAAGAAATAAAGAATTTGTCATGTGGAGCGTTAGTGTTAAAAGATAAAAAATCATCGACAAAACTAAAAGAATCTTTAGCAGAATGGTCATTAGGTATTAGGGGTTGGAGTAAAGAGCTGAGGTATTTGGCTAATTTGTAGTTATACGAATTGATTGAAGAATTTATAGGTCTGATAGGAGGTATGTCATTGATATTGTTTAATTTATGAAGTTTAGGTAAACCATATAATCGAGCTGGCTGTGAACCTCTAGGGTACATTTCTTGAAATGATTTTTCGTTAATAGAGTTCTTTTTCTTTAAGTTACGTAGCAGTCGTTGTAATTTTGCTTCACGGGAAATTGTAGGATCATGATCGAGTGGTTTGAACTTAGATAAATTGTTAATTATAGTGAGGCAAGAGTTAATGTATATACCTGACGATCCATAATGACTACACCATTGCCTTTGTCAGGTTTAAGAACAATGATTTTGTCATTATTATGAATGTTCCTTAGAATTTTATGTTTCTTCAGGTCTTTAGGAGTTGGATGGTAGGAAGTTACGTACGTGTGTGCCAAGTGACCAAGTTCCGTTTTTAGTATTGAATAGTCCTCTTGTTTGATAAGTTTATTTCTTAATGAATAGTGGATTCGTTCGAATGTTGCCAGAATGTCGGAGGAGTGGATTTTGGAGGTTTGATGCTGAAGTTGAGACCGTTTTTAGAGCATTAAGTTCATCTTCGCTAACTTTACAGATGATAGGTTGGTGACAGTGTCTTTGTGAGTGAATGGTATAGCCTTGTTTTGGTCAAATTATTTAGTTTCTTACGGTGTGTCGAAAATATTTTGTTTAGTTGTTTGTCGACATTCTTTTTGAGGGCTTTATTCAAGATATGCCAGTCAATTGGGTTAAGAAAGCTTTTGATTTCTTCTGTTTTGTTCGTCAGGTCCCTATCCAGTGTCCGTAGTTCTTTAGATCTCTTCGTTATCGTAGTTCGTAGTAAACGCTTTCGAATGTGGTATGTATCTCGATTGTCAACATTAGGCAGTGGAAAACACAGGAACTTTGGAAAAACTCCAAGTGAATTGCAATCTTTAAGGAAGGCGACATCAAGTTCAGCCTTGCGTTTCTTAATTGTAAGCTTTTCATAATTTCGAAAATTCGACAAGGAAACCTTTCCATGATAATTTTACCAATAACCCTACATTCAAAATGAACAGAACAGAACTAAAACTATTGTTTAACATCGCTACGGCCGAGACTCATTTTTTATTTAACGGTAAGTACTACGACCAAATTGACGGGGTAAGTATGGGCTCACCCTTGGCACCCATTCTAGCCAACATTTTCATGGGTTTTCACGAACGAAACTGGTTAAATAACTACAGCAACAACAAACCTTTATTTTACCGCAGATACGTTGACGACATTTTTGTATTTTTCATAACAAAGACGAAGCATTACTCTTTACGAATACATCAACAAACAACATCAAAACATAAACTTTACATACGAAACCGAACAAGACAATCAGTTACCCTTTCTTGACATCTTACTAACTAAATCACATGAAAACTGTATGACCTCTACGTACCACAAACCAACTTATACAGGACTACTGACTAACTTTTTAGTTTCACACCATTAAATTACAAAATTGGACTGATACGAACACTGACCGACAGAGCACGGAAACTTAACAACACAGACATCGGCTTTCAACGTGATTTAAAGAAACTAATATTCACTCTCCAACGTAATTCTTTTCCTTTTCATTTCATCAACAACACTATACAACACTATTTGGACAACAAGATAAGCACTGACTCATCTAACGCCACAACTAACACTAACGATATACAACAACCTGACAATAAACGTTATTTCAAACTACCTTACATAGGTGATTACTCACGACACACACAACGCAAACTCACACAAATCATTAAACCCTACTGCACTGACATTGACGTTAAACTTATTTTCGCACCTTTTAAAATAAAATCTTTATTTTCGTTTAAAGACCCACTTCCTGAACTTTCCAAATCTATGGTAGTTTATCAATTTTCATGTGCGGGATGTAATTCCCGCTATATTGGTGAAACTTCTCGCCAATTATCTACCAGGATAAAGGAACATACTCACACAGACAAAAACTCCACTATCTACAAACATCTTCAAGCCTCTCCTTCATGTAAAAACAAATTCTCACCTTCCTGTTTTAAAATCATCGACAGTGATCAATCCACTTTCTCACTCAAAATAAAGGAAGCTCTACACATTAATAAAACTAATCCCGATTTAAATATCCAAGTTCACCACTACAATACTATATTTACTTTATAATAACATTTTTTGTTATAAGTTCTTAATACTTATTTTTCTTTGCCTTTTTTGTAAATATTTTATATTTAGTAACTGAATCATAATCCTATTCATTGTAATTAACTTATTCATATCATATTACGTATCATATTACTTAACACTAACCATTCTGCACTGAAGATGGCATTCTGATAATGTCGAAACATGTTTGCTCTCAAAAAAATCGTCGTTTTTCTCAAGTGTTTTTTAAAAATGTGAACATTTTACACTCTGGTTGCTTTCATTTTGGAATACTAATGCATAACTTATGTATTTATTTTAATGATCAATATTTCTTATTTTGTTAGAAGTATCTAAAAATCAATATTCCATGGTAGTCAGACCTCCTACTCTTTTATTTCCTGAATAAGGCTTATTTTTGTTGATTTGATAAAGAACTATTTTTCTTTTTGCTGTATGCTGGTAGGTATTTGATAAAGTAAGAAAGAAGTGTTTTAAGGTTTACATTATTTATAAAATACTATTAAGCATGAGTTTGAATTTGTCTTTTATCGATGAAAAAAATTAATTGTTGAATATTTATTTGAATTATCCAATTAATAACACATTTGACAAATATTATGTAAAACTAAATCTAAAAAGGAAGTTGTAACTTCTTTTATAAGTTTCTTTGATGTTACAAAAACAAGAATGTTTTGAACAGTGGCTTTTTGAGTTTTGAATATTTATGCATTTGTTTTTGATTTGATTTACATATTTATAACAGATATGACTCAAAAAAATCTACAACAGGAAGTATTCCTAGGCAGTCACCCATCTAAGTACTAACTTCCCCCAACAAGGCTTAACTTTGGTGATCAGACAAGAACCAGTGCTTTACTTGTGGTTTGGTCGTAGCTAAAAGTTAATGTTAAAAAAGGGTTTTCTACTTTACATTATGTATAACATAGTTGTAAACATGAGTAGTAAGTTCTATTTTATCGAAGAAATAAAAAAACTGGGTTATTTAGAATGTATTTGGAATGTCTCATCAATATCAAATTAGAATAAAATTTTAGCGAAATTTAAGGTGTATAGAAACTTTTGTTTAGTTTTATACATATTTTGAATTATGATAAAAATGTGAACATTTTACACTGTGGATGCTTTCATTTTGGTACACTAATGCATAACTTATGTACTTATTTTAATGATCAATATTTCTTATTTTGTTAGAAGTATCTAAAAATCAATATTCCACGGTAGTCAGCCCTCCTACTACTTTATTTCCGGAATAAGGCTTATTTTTGTTGATTTGATAAAGAACTATTTTTCTTTTTGCAGTATGCTGGTAGGTATTTGATAAAGTAAGAAAGAAGTGTTTTAAGGTTTACATTATTTATAAAATACTATTAAGCATGAGTTTGAATTTGTCTTTTATCGATGAAAAAAATTAATTGTTGAATATTTATTTGAATTATCCAATTAATAACACATTTGACAAATATTATGTAAAACTAAATCTAAAAAGGAAGTTGTAACTTTTTATAAGTTTCTTTGATGTTACAAAAACAAGAATGTTTTGAACAGTGGCTTTTGAGTTTTAAATATTTATGCATTTGTTTTGATTTGATTTACATATTTATAACAGATATGACTCAAAAAATCTACAACAGGAAGTATTCCTAGGCAGTCACCCATCTAAGTACTAACTTCCCCAACAAGGCTTAACTTTGGTGATCAGGACGAGAACCAGTGCTTTACTTGTGGTTTGGTCGTAGCTAAAAGATAATGTGAAAAGGGTTTTCTACTTTACATTATGTATAACATAGTTGTAAACATGAGTAGTAAGTTCTATTTTATCGAAGAATTAAAAAAACTGGGTTATTTAGAATGTATTTGGAATGTCTCATCAATATCAAATTAGAATAAAATTTTAGCGAAATTTAAGGTGTATAGAAACTTTTGTTTAGTTTTATACATATTTTGAATTATGATAAAATGTGAACATTTTACACTGTGGATGCTTTCATTTTGGTACACTAATGCATAACTTATGTACTTATTTTAATGATCAATATTTCTTATTTTGTTAGAAGTATCTAAAAATCAATATTCCACGGTAGTCAGCCCTCCTACTACTTTATTTCCGGAATAAGGCTTATTTTTGTTGATTTGATAAAGAACTATTTTTTTTTGCAGTATGCTGGTAGGTATTTGATAAAGTAAGAAAGAAGTGTTTTAAGGTTTACATTATTTATAAAATACTATTAAGCATGAGTTTGAATTTGTCTTTTATCGATGAAAAAAATTAATTGTTGAATATTTATTTGAATTATCCAATTAATAACACATTTGACAAATATTATGTAAAACTAAATCTAAAAATGAAGTTGTAACTTCTTTTATAAGTTTCTTTGATGTTACAAAACAAGAATTTTCAACAGTGGCTTTTCGAGTTTTGAATATTTATGCATTTGTTTTTGATTTGATTTACATATTTATAACAGATATGACTCAAAAAAATCTACAACAGGAAGTATTCCTAGGCAGTCACCCATCTAAGTACTAACTTCCCCCAACAAGGCTTAACTTTGGTGATCAGACGAGAACCAGTGCTTTACTTGTGGTTTGGTCGTAGCTAAAAGTTGATGTGAAAAGGGTTTTTACTTTACATTATGTATAACATAGTTGTAAACATGAGTAGTAAGTTCTATTTTATCGAAGAATTAAAAACTGGGTTATTTAGAATGTATTTGGAACGTCTCATCAATATCAAATTAGAATAAAATTTTAGCGAAATTTAAGGTGTATAGAAACTTTTGTTTAGTTTTATACATATTTTGAATTATGATAAAAATGTGAACATTTTACACTCTGGATGCTTTCATTTTGGAATACTAATGAATAATTTATGTATTTATTTTAATGATCAATATTTCTTATTTTGTTAGAAGTATCTAAAAATCAATATTCCATGGTAGTCAGCCCTCTTACTACTTTATTTCCCGAATAAGGCTTATTTTTGTTGATTTGATAAAGAACTATTTTTCTTTTTGCTGTATGGTAGGTATTTAATGAAGTAAGAACGAAGTGTTTTAAGGTTTACATTATTTATAAAATACTATTAAGCATGAGTTTAAATTTGTCTTTTATCGATGAAAAAAATTAATTGTTGAGTATTTATTTGAATTATCCAATTAATAACACATTTGACAAATATTATGTAAAACTAAATCTAAAAAGGAAGTTGTAACTTCTTTTATAAGTTTCTTTGATGTTACAAAACAAGAATTTTCGAACAGTGGCTTTTCGAGTTTTGAATATTTATGCATTTGTTTTGATTTGATTTACATATTTATAACAGATATGACTAAAAAAAATCTACAACAGGAAGTATTCTTAGGCAGTCACCCATCTAAGTACTAACTTCCCCCAACAAGGCTTAACTTTGGTGATCAGACGAGAACCAGTGCTTTACTTGTGGTTTGGTCGTAGCTAAAAGTTAATGTGAAAAGGGTTTTTACTTTACATTATGTATAACATAGTTGTAAACATGAGTAGTAAGTTCTATTTTATCGAAGAATTAAAAACTGGGTTATTTAGAATGTATTTGGAACGTCTCATCAATATCAAATTAGAATAAAATTTTAGCGAAATTTAAGGTGTATAGAAACTTTTGTTTAGTTTTATACATATTTTGAATTATGATAAAAATGTGAACATTTTACACTCTGGATGCTTTCATTTTGGAATACTAATGAATAATTTATGTATTTATTTTAATGATCAATATTTCTTATTTTGTTAGAAGTATCTAAAAATCAATATTCCATGGTAGTCAGCCCTTACTACTTTATTTCGAATAAGGCTTATTTTTGTTGATTTGATAAAGAACTATTTTTCTTTTGCTGTATGCTGGTAGGTATTTAATGAAGTAAGAAAGTGTTTTAAGGTTTACATTATTTATAAAATACTATTAAGCATGAGTTTGAATTTGTCTTTTATCGATGAAAAAAATTAATTGTTGAATATTTATTTGAATTATCCAATTAATAACACATTTGACAAATATTATGTAAAACTAAATCTAAAAATGAAGTTGTAACTTCTTTTATAAGTTTCTTTGATGTTACAAAACAAGAATTTTCGAACAGTGGCTTTTCGAGTTTTGAATATTTATGCATTTGTTTTTGATTTGATTTACATATTTATAACAGATATGACTCAAAAAAATCTACAACAGGAAGTATTCCTAGGCAGTCACCCATCTAAGTACTAACTTCCCCCAACAAGGCTTAACTTTGGTGATCAGACGAGAACCAGTGCTTTACTTGTGGTTTGGTCGTAGCTAAAAGTTAATGTGAAAAAATGGTTTTTTACTTTACATTATGTATAACATAGTTGTAAACATGAGTAGTAAGTTCTATTTTATCGAAGAATTAAAAAACTGGGTTATTTAGAATGTATTTGGAACGTCTCATCAATATCAAATTAGAATAAAATTTTAGCGAAATTTAAGGTGTATAGAAACTTTTGTTTAGTTTTATACATATTTTGAATTATGATAAAAATGTGAACATTTTACACTCTGGATGCTTTCATTTTGGAATACTAATGAATAATTTATGTATTTATTTTAATGATCAATATTTCTTATTTTGTTAGAAGTATCTAAAAATCAATATTCCATGGTAGTCAGCCCTCTTACTACTTTATTTCCCGAATAAGGCTTATTTTTGTTGATTTGATAAAGAACTATTTTTCTTTTTGCTGTATGCTGGTAGGTATTTAATGAAGTAAGAACGAAGTGTTTTAAGGTTTACATTATTTATAAAATACTATTAAGCATGAGTTTAAATTTGTCTTTTATCGATGAAAAAAATTAATTGTTGAGTATTTATTTGAATTATCCAATTAATAACACATTTGACAAATATTATGTAAAACTAAATCTAAAAAGGAAGTTGTAACTTCTTTTATAAGTTTCTTTGATGTTACAAAAACAAGAATTTTCGAACAGTGGCTTTTCGAGTTTTGAATATTTATGCATTTGTTTTTGATTTGATTTACATATTTATAACAGATATGACTAAAAAAAATCTACAACAGGAAGTATTCCTAGGCAGTCACCCATCTAAGTACTAACTTCCCCCAACAAGGCTTAACTTTGGTGATCAGACAAGAACCAGTGCTTTACTTGTGGTTTGGTCGTAGCTAAAAGTTAATGTGAAAAAAGGGTTTTTTACTTTACATTATGTATAACATAGTTGTAAACATGAGTAGTAAGTTCTATTTTATCGAAGAATTAAAAAAACTGGGTTATTTAGAATGTATTTGGAACGTCTCATCAATATCAAATTAGAATAAAATTTTAGCGAAATTTAAGGTGTATAGAAACTTTTGTTTAGTTTTATACATATTTTGAATTATGATAAAAATGTGAACATTTTACACTCTGGATGCTTTCATTTTGGAATACTAATGAATAATTTATGTATTTATTTTAATGATCAATATTTCTTATTTTGTTAGAAGTATCTAAAAATCAATATTCCATGGTAGTCAGCCCTCTTACTACTTTATTTCCCGAATAAGGCTTATTTTTGTTGATTTGATAAAGAACTATTTTTCTTTTTGCTGTATGCTGGTAGGTATTTAATGAAGTAAGAAAGAAGTGTTTTAAGGTTTACATTATTTATAAAATACTATTAAGCATGAGTTTGAATTTGTCTTTTATCGATGAAAAAAATTAATTGTTGAGTATTTATTTGAATTATCCAATTAATAACACATTTGACAAATATTATGTAAAACTAAATCTAAAAAGGAAGTTGTAACTTCTTTTATAAGTTTCTTTGATGTTACAAAAACAAGAATGTTTTGAACAGTGGCTTTTTGAGTTTTGAATATTTATGCA